GTGTTTAAGGTGACAAGAGATAACCATGTTATTATCTGCGTAAGATGACAAGGGATAACAAATGATTTATCCGAGAAAGATGACCAGAGGCAATCAAGGTCAACATTTGTGTTCCCTGATTAGAGTTTAATCAAAAGTCAATATCTACATTTGTATGGCGACCATAGTCAATTAAAATCAGTATTTGTGTTAGGTGAGCATAAGTAACCAAAGAATGAGTGATTGATTGTTGGTTACTTAATGTGCAGTAGCAAATATTTCATACATGTTCAGGACGAGAACAAATTAATAATACGTACAGGAAAGTCCTGTAATAGAGGCCAACCGTGATGAAGGTCGGGGACTGGCACTGAAAAATTAGGGTATATTTGATAGGGACAGAAATTATGCTTTGCAACAGGCCACCTACAGATCCCTCAAAAGGTTGTTGCAAAGGGGTTCTTAACGTAGAGATAACATGGCACTCGCTCTACACGAGGCTGAAACCAAAGACAATATCTGTGTAAGGTAACCATAGGTAACTTAAGTAAATATATGTGTAATGTTACTATTAATTATCTGTGTACAGTGACCATAGGTAACCAAAGTCAATATCTGAGTAAGATGACCGCAAATAACCTATGTCAAAATCTGTGTAAGTTGATCATACATGTAGATAACCAAAGTCAAAATATATATAACGTGATCAGAGTTAACCAAAGTTAAATATGTGTAACGTTATCAGAGGTAACCAAAATCAAAATATGTAACGTGATCAGCGGTAACCAAAGTCAAAATATGTGTAACGTGATCATAAGTAACCAAAATCAAAATATTTGTAACGTGATCAGATTTAAACAAAGTCAAAATATATGTAACGTGATCAGAGGAAACCAAAGTCAAAATATGTGTAACGTGATTAGAGGTAACCAAATTCAAAACAAGTGTAAGGTGACCAGAGGCAACCAAGGATCATAGCTGTAAGGTGACAAGATGTAACTAAAGTCAATATCTGTGTAAGGTGACCAAAGTTTAAAAAGGTCAATATCTGTGTAAGCTGACCAGAGGCTATCGTAGTCAATGTATATGTAAGATGATCAGAGGTAAAACAATATCAATATATGTGTCAGGTGACCAGTTGTTACCACATTAATATCTGTGTAAGGTGATTAGAGGTAACCAAAGTCAATATCTGTGTAAGGTGACCATATGTAACCAAGTCAAAATCTGTATATGGTAACCAAAGATAACTACATCAACATCTTCGTACGATGACCAGAGCTGTCAGCAGCATAACCAAAGTAAATATATGGATAAGATTATCAGGGGTGAACAAAGTCGATATTTGTGTTAGCAGATGAGGGTTCAAACAAAAAGTCAATATTTGTGTTAACAGATGAGGGTTGAAATAAAAGTCAATATTTGTGTTAACAGATGAGGGTTGAAATAAAAATCAATATTTTTGTAAGGTGATCAGAGGTAACCAAAGTCATCATATGTATAAGGTGACCAGATTTAACCAAATCAATCATTATGTGTGTTAATAGATCAGAGTTAAAACAAAAGTCAAAATATATGTATGGTGACCAGAGATTACCAAATTCAAAATTTGTGTAGGATGACCAGGGTTAACAATTGTATGGCAAGATGTGTATAAGATGAGCATGTGTAACCAAAGTCAATGTATTTGTAAGTTGACCAGGTGGAACAAAGTAAATATCTGAGTATTGTGACTACAAGTCAATATCTATGTAAGGTGATCAGAGTTGACCAAAAACAAACCAGAGGTTACCAAAATAAACATCTATATTGGATTAACATAGGTAACCAAATTCATCATAGGTAACCAAATTCATTATGTAAGTTGTCTAAAGGTAACCAAAGTCAATATATATTACATATGGTGTAGCGTTACTCTTTTTTCCATTTTTTATTACGATCACGTGGTTCAAAGGATATTCAATGTAGCTGAAGTCTTGTTTCTCTTTGAAGTATGCGGACGCTATGTTTCTACTTATAAATACATTTATATTATACTTATAAATCTAGATCCGAATATAAGCCGTTCCGTTCTGTAATTACTCATTTAACCTTAAAGTTCCATTCCATAATACACTATTTACATATTCAATATATCAATTATGGACTTTCACTCAGTCGAACGTTATATATGGACCTGTTAGATAATATTGACATTTGGACTTCGTCAATATAATCTAAACAGGTCCATATATAACGTATTGACCTCGATCATGTTTGATAAATATGTAAGGTTACCATTGGATTACCAGAGGTAACCAAATTCATTATATGTGTAAGATGACAAGAGGTAATCAAGGTCGTATCTGTGTTAGTGTACCAGAGGCAGCCGATATTAATATCGGTGTATGTTGTCTAGAGGTAACCAAAGTCAATATATATTACATATAGCGTTACTCTTTTTTCATTTTTTATTACGACCACGTGGTTCAAAAGATATTTCATGTAGCTGAAGCCTTGTTTCTATTTTGAAATATATGGACGCTATGTTTCTATTTATATATTCATTTACACTATACTCCTAAATTTAGATCCGGATATTTAAGCCGTTCTGGTCCGTTACTACTCATTACCGTCTCCTCGGAGACGTTCTTATAAGTTGAACGATGGACAGTCTTCGGACTGAATGCTTTCTTACTACCAGATTGGAAGATATTACTGACTCTTTCATAGTAAAAATCTGTTGATTGGTTGGGGAAATTTGAAACTTAGTAAAATGTCCTTCAATCCCGCAGAGAAACGGGTTTGAACTCTTTATTTTAGTTATTAAGTTGCATCGTGAACAATATTGTATTTCGGTACACAGGAACATTATTCTATAAATAGCCGAAACTCCTGCTATATTGTAATGTATAAAAACGCACACGTGTTCATTCCACATTTTATCCAGTCGCTCGTTGTTATGAATGTTAAGAGTCATTATAGTTAACCTGTATACGAAATCCTAGGGATACACTGCACATGCTGTTTTCCTCGGTTATACATATTGATACTTAGTAAGAAAATTCGAAGGCAACAATTTAATTGAAAAACGGATATAACCAAATCAGTTAATATCGATTAATATTGATTAATACGGGAATAATTTAGAGGAGGGTTTGCGCTGGGTAAGATGATGTCTAGCTTTTCTTACCGTGGCAATATAGCAGAATGTGAAGAACATTAGACGAGGGGATAATGATAAGAAGAAAAAAACGACTCTCAAATTATAAAAGCAATTATTTGAACATGTTAGTATATTTTAATTTCTAAATATGATTTAAAGGAGATTTGAAGTATACATAAATAATTTAGACAGGCAACCCAATTAATCGACACACAAAACTCCTTACTTCTAAAGTTCAAACAGCGCATGCCTCTTACAAGTTATAAAGTCTTCTACAATTAACATATTTTGTTAGCATTTAACCCTCCAAAGTCTAGCTAGATATAGAAAAATTGGGAATAAATGTTAAAAACAATTAAGGAAAAAAATGAATTAATATATATAACCGAAAACAAAAACAATGAACAGAGTCAGAAACTTATACTTGTTTTGGAGATTTATTGACAATTTATACTAAACATGCTATACGAAAAAGAGAAAAGAAATACATCTTAAAGACGAAAATACTGTTGGCATTGGATTATTTTAAAATGAATGTTTTCTAGAGGAATTTAAAACATGTATACACATACAAACACTATGATGATAAAACAGAAAGAGATCTACATGTCAACATATAAACGCTCTCCCACAAAAGAATACGTAAAATCCGCATGTTTAGCTTTGAAAGGTAGGTACGATATAAGCCTTATTTTTCTCCCAATATCGATCAAGTCCATCATGCGACAAAGTGAAATAGAACGAATTTTGTCGAACGCTTCGAAAGTTACGTTGGAATGTATACCCGGAAAAAGCACCAAAAACAGACTTTGATGACATTTTTTAAAATCTTTTTGATTTCAACGAAATTTGGGCTTGAATGGTATAAAGAGCTGCATGGAAAAATATTTTCAAATTTAATCAGCTATGAGACGGCTAGATTTTTAGAAAAGTTATTACGTGTTTAACATTGAAGTTCATTTCCATAATACACTATTTACATATTATTCAATATATAAATTCTGGACTTTCACTCAGTCTAACGTTATATATGGACCTGTAAGTTAATATTGACATTTGGACTTCGTCCTCGGTCACTATAATCTGTACAGGTCCATATATAACGTATTGACCTCGTTCATGAGTGATAAAAATATAAGGTTAACAGGGGTAACCAGAGTCAATTTCTGCTTCAGGTGAGCAAAGGTAACAAAGTCAATATAATTATACATTATGTGTAAGATGACCGTTGTTAACCAAAATAAATATCTGTGTAAGGTGACCAGAGGTAACCATTGTCAATATCTGTGTAAAGTGACTAGGGGTAACCGAAGTCAACATCTGTATTAAGTGACCAGACGTTAGCAAAGTCAATACCTGAGAAGGATGATATGACTGTAACCAAAGTCAATATTAATGTCCTCTAATCAAGTGTAAACATCAACTACATGAACAATGAGATAGTAATAATGACATTGGTTTAATACTTTTTTCTTATACCTAAATGTATTTTTGTATCTAGTTTTAATATTCTTATAAATCTTCTTTCATACAAATTTTGTACTTATCATTTTCGATATATTAAGTTTCTGTTATAGCATTTAAGGGTAAATGGTAATTCAGAATATAAGGCTGTTCAGATGAAGTTTTATTTAAATACATACATCTTCTTATATCTATGTATGACGTAAACATCTGTAATAAAACATATTCTATGAAGGACTAACCAAGTTTAATTAAATTCACGGTAAAAACCAGTTGCATGCTCCCTTACATTTAATTGTTTTGTTATTGTACCAACAGGTACTTACAGGTACTATTTCGATGTAAATTTAATAGGAAGTAGAATTATGTATTTGAATTATTTATAGAACAATAATATTACTAAGGAAAAATATTACTATTTATAGAGGTGATTTCTGGTCACCTTATAGCGAAACTATTATCCTTGTGCAAAAAAGAAGGTATTTGCAGAACAAACCAGTCTTTTAATTTACAGGATATGCAGTTTCAAGTGTTCTTTGAATAGAGAGAAGGGAGAGAGGAACAATTGATTTTCACAATCTCAAAGGTTAGTTAATTTAAATAAATATAGTGTCATATTAAGCTTGAAAAGATTTATAAACTTTTTATCTGCGCTAAATAATTATTTTCATTTTTATTCGGTTTTATCAGTGAACTCAGTTTGGTTTCACTTTCAACTGTTAATTTTTCATAGTTATTAAAGCGAAACTAGACAGGGAACCCCAGAAAAAACCTTTGAATTATGAAAGAATTTACTGTCTAATTTGAGACAATTTACTGTTTAATTTGAGACAATATACTGTTCAGTTTGAGACAGGTCACAGAGATGTTCACGGTAATAACTGAATATGTTGGGGACAATCACCCAATTAAATAGGTTATGTGTGGGTTTGTGGACTAGTATTTAAGACCAATGGATGCAGTGCTGAACATCCCTGTTTCGGTTCTAACTCGGGGTGCTGGAAATGTCAGTACATCAGAAAGTTGATTTTCGGAGAAACTTGGACTTGAAACTTTGTGCTATTTCCTGTATTAATAACAATAACATATATACAAAACAATGAAATGAATGGAATGACAGGGCTCAATGTACAATGGTATAAAGTACATAGTTTATGGAATTAACAGTGAAAGGCGAACCTACTTTATAACAGACAGAACAATATTACAAAAGTTTGACAAGTAAACTGTAGTCACCAAAACAAAAAAGTTCACAATACCTTATAGGTGTTAGCTTTTTATACACATAACAAGGCAAAAGTCTTTTCTTTAGTTCGAGAAAAAAGTACATTTAAAAAGATTCACCCTCCCTCACAAATTTTTTGTACCCAGACGACCGGAGTTTATGCTAGAATTGGTATTTTTGGAACTTCATTTGGTCTTTGACCTTGAGATCAATCTGCTGATATCTGTTCGGTTGGGCTGTTCCCGCCGAGCAACTTGGAAGACCTCTACTAGTACTTCGGCTTCCTCCACTATAATAGCAGACTTCCTTTGTACTAGCACTTCTTTTGTGTTTGAGTTGGGATTGACCTTCTAAATATTGTTGTAAATACAACAGTTACACATCTTCATTAATCCCGAAAGGAAATGTACACGGATTCAACTGTACCGGCCTCGTTGTTCTCGAGGGATGCTCCGAATAACGAAGGAATCCCAGGACAAACATTTAATATCCCGTTTGGTGTATGATTTACTGTAAAACAAACATGTTATTTTGAATTCAATGACAAATAATTACATAAACAGCAACAACTTTTGGTTAGCAACTTTTCTGAATACCTGATTGTTTATAACTATGATCCCTTGGAAGAAGCTATTTTCAGAAAAATTAATCTAGCAACTTATTCATGTTCTGGTAAAGATGCTTACCAAAAGCTGCTACTATGAATCTAAGCAAAAATTGTGTAAATTTAAGCAATGAACAAAACTTTTGAATAGTCGTCTTCTTTGAAATAGTTTTTTTTAAATATTTAAATGTAATTTGTTATATGTAAATCATAAAAATCGAAATTGAATTTGTTGGGTTCATGTTAAAAGTTTTTCCCATTTAGACAAATAGATATCTCATAAATTTTTAAGAAAATTATCTATAAATAAAGGCAATAGTAGTATACCGGTGTTCAAAAGTCATAAATCGAGTGAGAGAAAACAAATCCGGGTTACAAACTAAAACCGAGGGAACACATCAACTATAAGAGGAAAACAAAGGAACAACAGGAACACTGAAGTGCAATAAAAACAAACGCCAACATACATAGAAACGAACTATTAGATAACAACTGCCAAATTCTTGACTTGGTACAGGACATTTTAAGAAAAAATGGTGGGTTGAATCTGGTTTTATGGCTAGTAAAACCTCCCGCTTATATGACAATGTTAAAAATATCACTAAAATGGCAACACTACGTGACAGAAATACAGCACAAACATACGCAAGAACACTCGTCACAGAGAAACGCGCAAACAAATAATAGTCGACACAATACGCAAACCGCATAACAACCACGAACATCTTCCATCAAGGACAGACACCACAGGACATCACAAACAGTGACGCACTTACGTAACGAACATGCAAACTCGAACTTTATGCAATTATTTTCACATTCCAAACAATTTTCATGACAATGATGGTAATGAAAGGCTATTTTAAATTATTTGTACTATAAACGATAAGACATAACACATTATCCAACCGAAACCATAACAGAAACATAAAGAATAAATACATGAATGTTGGATGTACAAAATACCGAGACACGTCGTATAGCAATGCAAATTCACACTCGATATGACAGCCATATTCGGGAATATGTCACGTTCGGTATTTAGCAGGCAAACGACATAGATGTGAAACCACTATCTAAGACGTGGTAAAAATGTCATTAGTTAGTTTAGACACAGGCACATCGTATAGGTCAACCAATTCGTGATGGTTTCCATAAAATTTACGGAGTGTCATTTTTAATTTTTCCTCCTCATAACTCTGTTGGGGCAGTTTCTGCGTAAGGAGCACACTCCTGTATAAGAAGTCAGTATAGTGTGAACATGCACGAGCATAACGTATCAACTGAGATATGTAAACACCATACGACCACTGGTGTTAAACTGATAATCGTAACTGGAATTACGACGATCCCAATATGGCGACGGCAGAAATAGGTAAAATCTTTTCAGTCATTTTTCTCAAATGTAGCCCGTTGTTGTCAAGAGTTACTCAGCTGCAAGGTTTTTCTATACCATTACATCATATTTAAATCGTAACGGTGCACTATAATTGTCTAAGCGCTTAGAAAATTACCGTCCAAAAATTCGGGATGATAATCGTAATTCGATGGCATTTTTCTTGTTTGATAATCGTAATTTCTTTATGGGATAATAGTAACTGAAAAATAATAAATGTGTCTTCCAGCTTGTCAATGGTATTTTGCGTGTAAAACGGCAATGTCCAGTTAAACGATGACATTAACGTGCAAAATAAAAAAAAATGAAGCAACTTACAGGTTAATAGTTAGGACAAATTTACTTACATGTATATATATATCTCGATTTATAACTGACAACAATATGCATAACCTTTTAATATATACATGTATCTGTTAAAATATGGAAAATGAAGCAGGTGTCGAGTCAGTTATTGTGGTAAATAGATAATTTAAATTATTTCAAAGTTTCAATGTTGTTTTCGCGTTTAGGGTTTTTTTGGAAGTGGGGAAAAGGGGGGGGGTATTAGCATTATCCCATATCCCAAAAGTGCAATCCTTTCAAATAAAAGTCCCGTATACCACATTTCAATATGCCATATGTTTTGCCTCAAATATTGCATATATCCAATCGACTTTTAAATCAATAAAAAGGGCAAGTTAACCTTCCCTATCTCAATATTCCCTATACCACGGGGGTGGCTGTGGGTTACTTCCTATATGAATATATAAGTTATAACATGGAACAGTTTTTTGGTCTTCGGCAATATATGAAAGGGGATTTTTTTTTTAAATTTCATCAGCACGCCAGAAGTCACACCACCCATTCCCCCGTGCCTTATACAGACCTCATTTATCATAAGATCACTGTCAGTTTTGAGTTCCCTGTTGTTTATATTCGGGGATGGGTCCACAAATCATGTAAAAGGGAAATGGGGGGGGGGGGGGGGGTGGGGGGGGTGCTATAAACTGAACGTTTATACTAAATTTCTGCGAGAAATGAACAAAATTTTCCATCAGTTACTTAACTGCATTATTGGATTTAACAGATGATACTTTGATTGGTGGATATGAGTTTTCATTTTGCCCTTTTCCTTATATATCAATAGAAATACATATACTAGTAGTTTAATTTTGGAGTGAAATGTATCCCGGTTAAAATAGCCGTTCATATTTTTCAAGTGAATTCACTTTTGTTCTGTTTTACAATGATATTTTATATGATTTTAAAAATTAAATTCAAATATTTTTATTAAATATCCATGCATTTTATGACGTTTCTTTAAACAGGGTGGATGATAAAGGATCTAGAACTATTATAGTTACCAGACTGAGTTTATTGTTACTATTGTTTATTGTTACTTGTGTTTATTGTTACTATTGTTTATTGTTACTTGTGTGTATTGTTACTTGTGTTTATTGTTCCTTGTGTTTATTATTCCATGTGTTTATTGTTCCTTGTGATTATTGTTCCTTGTGTTTGTTGTTCCGATGGTTTATTGTTCCTTGTGTTTATTGTTCCTTTTGTTTATTGTTCCTTGTGTTTATTGTTACTTGTGTTTATTGTTTTTGTTAGCCTTAACTAAATGTTGCGTATAGTCTTGCGAAGCATTTGAAGGACTGAAAAAAAACACAAATATATATTATATATATATATATGTGTATTGGTCCTCAGAAGGCATAATATGTATATTAGATCATCACGGTCGAAACTGGTTTAATTACAAAGACTTTAATAGATAATCAAACAAATATTTTGTGCTTCAGAAATTTGCATGACAATTATGAAAGGCTAATTTTTGTTTTCATTTGATAGAAAAGTACTAAGTATATGGTAATTATGCAAGTACAAAAATGTTCTTTGTTACCTTCAATCTTTTTTCTCTACAATAACTTCCATACATATGTATGCAGCATATTTTTCATATACCAAGTATTTATGATTTCTTGAATCAGTTTGTTTCTGATATGGCGGAATATGCGCTATGATTTCTTAAAGTTGCAGTCATTCTTTGAATAAATATAGCTTGTAAGGTAATTTAAGGCCACATCAATTTGATTTCTTGATCTTCGGGCTTTTGGCCAAACTATTAAAGAACACAAATCCATGTTTGCCAATGAACTCCGTCACCATGTGCTTAACTCCATAACACACAAAGCATTCCAACTTTTCTCTACTCTTATATTATCATTAAAGGTTTAAGGATGTCATATTATTAGAATGCCAAACTAAATTGGTGTTGTTAAAATCTATAATTATTTTCTGAGATATCGAAATGTCAGTGACGGTCATGAAGTAGCTAAGCATTTTTATAGTATTTATGGGCTATACAACATTTTACACATTCAAAAAGGTGTGACATTTGTTTTCAAGTCCGTTTTTAAATAGAATACCAAACAATATTTCTTTTTAACTCTAAACATGAAGAGATCATGATGACATTTTTTTTAATTTTCTCCCATATTTTGTGACGGTCCTAGTTCCTGGAGCAGGAACACTGAAGTGCCACAAAAACAAACGCCAACATGCATAGAAACGAACTTTTTGATAACAATTGCATATTCCTGACTTGGTACAGGACATTTTAAGAAAAAATGGTGGGTTCAACCTGGTTTTATGGCTAGCCAAACCTCCCGCTTATATGACAATGTTAAAATATATCGCTAAAATAACAGTACGCGACAGAAATACAGCACAAACATACGCAAGAACACTCATCACAGAGAAACGCACAAACATATAATATAATAGTCTTTATATGTACAACCAAGTCTAAACTGAAAACAACGTTCAAACCTATGATTGCGTTTGATAAAAACCGCTATTTTTATACGTGTGCATGTAATACAAATTTCGTTGTAGAGGGGTCTAAATACAGCACAAACAACATTTTCCAAAAGACCAAAAAAGTGAAAAAGTATATTTTAACAAATCGCATTTGACTAACAGGTCGAACAACTGATGTTCTTAAACCCTGTTGACTACCATTGACGATTACCAAATAAAGTGATCACAAAGATGTAACAAAATGGATCTTTATACAAATTTAATACCAAACAGAAAACAATAAACTTGCGGCAAAGATGGTAAAACCACAAACATAAGGTGCTATAATTTTTTTACACCATATCCGGATTTCGACAATTAATGTCTCTTCAGTGATGTTAGGGATCGAAACAGTATTTGGAAGGCCATATAATTTACCTCAATTTAGGATAGACTCTTGAATTTTAAAGAGTCGAAATAGGATGAACGGATTATATAATCCGGAGGGAAAATATAATACAAGCCCAAACGAAATAAATATAAACAAGTCTTAATTGAAAACAACGTTCAAACCTATGATTGCGTTGGATAAAATCCGCTATTTTTATACTTGTGCATGTAATACAAATTTCGTTGTAGAGGGGTCTAAATACAGCACAAACAACATTTTCCAAAAGACCAAAAAAGTGAAAAAGTATATTTTAACAAAAAGCATTTGCTGTTACAAAATTTTGGAAATTATTTAAAATTAAGGAATGTATCTCCCTCATGCAAAGCTCTGATTCCTTGCCCAGCTTTGGCTATACTTTTTGTCCTTTTTAGTGTATTGCTCTTCATGTTTTTAATAAGCTTTAGATTTTCAAATATTTTGGCCTCGAGCATCACTGAGGAGACATTGATTGTCGAAATGCGCATCTGGTGCAGAAAAATTGGTACCGTGTATGTTATTGACTAACAGATCGAACAACTGATGTTCTTTAACCCTGCTGACTGCCATTGGCGATATATATTATCTTGTTAAAACTGTTCATATTTGTCCAAGTTCTTTCATGTATGTCTGGAAGCTGAAGGCTTTCGTAAATGAATACACAATATAACATGATATGATAAGAGCTCAAAAAAGTAAACTTAGAAATATTGTCTTTTCAATATCTTGTTCATGTATTGCATTTGTAATTAATCGCTGAATCCTTTTACAAATTCAGGCCAGTATTTCATATTACCCAGTATTTATTCGTAAAACCAACAAAAAACAGGATGTGTACCGTATTTCTCACTGGGCTGTGCAATACACAGAAAACAAGGGGATTTGTGCTGCCAACCCTGTTAATAAAGTCTCTAAACTTATCATGAAATGGATTTTTTGGCGGTTCAGATTTGATCTATAACCCTTAAACTGTGCTGGGGACATATTTTTGTCCCTTTTCAGTCGGCTACGACTGTGGACATGTGTGTCCATCTGTAGATAACAGAAGGGAAGGTTTTCAATCAAACTAAATGATAATTACAATTTTATTTTCCTGATTTTGGATCCATGAAATTCAAATGAAAAATAGTAGGACGTTTTTGAAAATTCTTTTCTGGTCAGTTAACAATTCTAAGATACACTTATTAGTCAGTGGGACAACACAAAAACAAATATGCTTGATTTTAAGTTAAAACATTTCAAACATCACATCATCATGATCATATGTAAAAAATTAATACGGTAAAGCTCTAACAATAATCATGTAAGACTTTAACCAAATAATTTAAATACCCATAATACACATGAAACATGAAAAGAATAACAAGAATCACCCAAAATACTGGACAGTACAATAGACCACATCAACTATGAATGTCTGATTCTTCCTTAAAGAAAACCATTGACCATAGATAAAACATGATCCAGATTGGGTCAATGTGTATAGACAAAAAAAGGGTGGGTTTAAATTAAAGCGACATTAATTTACAATGTTAAGAAGAGACAAATCAAGCTAACCAACATAAAAGGACGGAAGCTCATGATTTCAAAAGAAACCAGAAAGGGTGCGTCGTCAAAGTAAGCGTCTCTTGCTATGCATGCATCACCGATATGCGAACTAATACTTAGTCAAAATGTAACAAATGGAAATGGGACACAATCGGTAAAATTACAGATCAGACGACTATACTGTATCTTATGATCTAAGACCGGTTTTACCTGTACACAAATTCCGGGAACACATTTGCCTAGTAAGATGATATGTTGTAACTTGTAAAATAAAAGCCTACAATAAAATATATGCAGAGTGCAGCTATTACCATTATGACTGCTAACTCGTGAAGAAGTTCCATCTGATTCACAAGGATTTGACAAGACATTGGTCTACTTTCTATTCTGGTATTTATCATAGTATATAAAAAAGAAGATGTGGTATGATTGTCAATGAGACAACTCTCCACAAGAGACCAAATGACTCAGAAATTAACAACTATAGCCCATACCGCATAGTCAGCTATAAAAGCCCCGAAATGACAAATGTAAAACAATTCAAACGAGAAAACTAACGGCCTAATTTATGTACAAAATAATGAACGAAAAACAAATATGTAACACAGCAACAAACGACAACCACTGAATTACAGGCTCCTGACATGGGACAGGCACATACAGAATGTGGCGGGGTTAAACTAGTTTTAAGGCGCCAACCCACCCCTTACCTGGGACAGTGGTGAAACAGTACAACATAAGAACACACTATAAAAATCAGTTGAAAAAGACTTAACTCATCAGATGGATACAAATAGAAATACATGCAACAAAATCACAGAGTGGACGTGAACGGGTACTTGTACATCCAAACACCAAAAAGACACTAAATACAGATCTGGGAGTACTCGCAGTTACTGACAGCTAGTTCAAAGCCAAAAACTAATAAAAAGAAATCATGCATCTAAGACTACATTATCAATCAGTACATTAGCCATTGTAATTGCAGCTTTCACATTTACGTTTAATAAGAGGATCCTGAAGGTCTTTAAAACAGAACGTAGAACAGAGAGTTTTCAAATCTTTATAATCAAAATGTGGACACATGATTTCTTATACTTTAATTGGATTGTAAGGAAGTTACGATTCCATTCATACAAAATTTCTCCATTTCATAAGTTACATGTAAAACGATGGTAATAAAAAATAAATCACGTAAAAAGTCTGTAGAATACATATTAAAATTATATAAGCATTGCTTACCTTGTTAAATGAACATCAGGCATACATTTATATATTATTTATAACAGTAATTTATAAAACTATACAATACATGCAAACGTTTAGCACACATCATTATGGTGCACGGCAGTTAAAAATAAAGCTTTAAGAAAAGGAAATAAAAATTACTGACTACACAGTCTCTAATGGGAACTGATGTGGTAAGCAAGTAGCACTATGTGTCTTAGCCTTATGTGTCTTAGCCCTATGTGTCTTAGCCTTATGTGGCTCTCATGAAATTTGCAGTACAGAAATCCAAGTATAATATGTGTACAAATAATTGATAAAATTGAAAACTTGATATATAGCATGTATAGGAGCAATTGTCCTCAAATGACGACTTTTATCTCTATTTTTTTGGCATTTTGTTAAAAGAACTTCAGAAACGAAAATATGGATTGCTAATAAATTATACACTGTATTTGATAGAACTAATATTTATATTTCAGAAAAGGGATAGTCAGTATGAGTGAAAAACCGGATGAAACAACAAGAGGAGCTGAGGAGGTAGATGCACAAGGTGGGGGTAGCCAAATGGACTCCAAACATACCAAAGAAGGGTTTGTAAATATAATCAATAATTAATAAACATATAATCTATATTATGAAAATAATTGTTCAACTATCTATTCAAGTTAATTCATTGATTCTCATGCCTTTCCACTGTACGTTAAGCATGAAGATACCTCTATCTTTATATATTGTCCTAATAAAATTATTTAAATAATACACACCAAGTAAACCAATATTGATTTGTACATTACAGTTATGACCAAGCTGAAACTTCTCATGGCGAAGATGATCAGATACTGCCACCAAAAGATGCGTAAGTCAGATAACCAGAAACATAAGTAAATCAGATACAAATGAAGTTAAGATAAAAGTGAAGAAAATACCAACTAAATATTTCTAACTAAAACGTTTCATATATTTGAAAGTTTAAATATAACCCAACCTCACTATGCATCAAACATGTACAACATTTTAGTAGATAAGAAAACATAAGGTTTTTTATGGTTTATTTGTAATTTCATGCTTAAATACAAAAAGTTCTGACATGTTTGCAATTTTGTTTTGATATTAAAAAGAAAACATATTTTAATTTTTTGATAGCATTATTTGTAGGCACAATTTCCTGAAATCAATAACTAATCTTGAATTTTTGTCCATTGTTTCAACAATCACAATATTAACTAGAACTGCCGTTAAAATATTTTATAGCGGATGTCACCCCGGTTACGCAACCAATTTGAAAATTCAAAAGTCGAGTATCACATCAGCACATGCCAGTTTATTTCGATAAAATTACAGATCAGACAACTGTATTGTATCTTATCATCTAAGACCGGTTTTACCTGTACACAAATTCCGGGAACACATTTGCCTAGTAAGATGATATGTTGTAACTTGTAAAATAAAAGCTCACAATAAAATATCTGCAGAGTGCAGCTATTAACATTATGACTGCTAACTCGTTAAAAGTTCCATCAGATTCACAAGGAGTTGACAAGACTTTGGTCTACTTTCTATTCTGGTAATTATCATATTAGCCAATTTAATTGCAGCTTTCACATTTACGTTTAATCGGAGGATCCTGAGGGTCTTTAAAACAGAAAGTAGAACAAAGAGTTTTCAAATCTTTATCATCAAAATGTGAACTCATGATCTCTTATTTTAATTGGATTGTAAGGAAGTTACGATTCTATTCATATAAAGGTTCTTCATTTTATAAGTAACATGTAAAAAATTGTATAACAAAATATATCACACAATAAAAGATTTTTTCAGACATGAGACGTTGTAAGATGGAAAAAAATGACAGCATGATCTTTGTTGTATAACTACTAGGGCCAAAAACAGTATATATTGTTTGTTAAGTCAAGATAGAAAAATTAAAGTCTGTAAAATACATATCAAAATTACATACGCATTGCTTACCTTGTTAAATGTACATCAGGCATACATTTATATATTATTTGTAATAGTAATTTATAAAACTATACAATACATGCACACATCATTATGGTACACGGCAGTTAAAGACAAAGCTTTAAGAAAAGGAAATAAAAATTACGGACTACAGTCTCTATTGGGAACTGGTGTGGTAAGCAACCCTTAGCCCAATGTGTCTTAGCCCTATGTGTCTTAGCCTTATATGCTTTAGCCTTATGTGTCTTAGCCTTATATGTCTTAGCCTTATATGTCTTAGCCTTATGTGTCTTAGACCAATGTGTCTTAACCTTATATGCTTTAGCCTTATGTGTCTTAGCCTTATGTGTCTTAGCCTTATATGCTTGAGCCTTATGTGTCTCTCATGAAATTTACAGTACAGAAATCCAAGTATAATATATGTACATATAATTGATAAAATTGAAAACTGGAAAACATAATATTGTCATCAATTCTTTATAGCATGTATAGGAGCAATTGTCCTCAAATGACGACTTGATCTTTATTTATTTGGCAATTAGTTGAAAAGAACTTCAGGAACGAAAATATGGACTGCAAATAAATTAGACACTGTATTTGATAGAATTTATATTTATATTTTAGAAAAGGGATAGTCAGTATGAGTGAAAAACCGGATGAAACAACAAGAGGAGCTGAGGAGGTAGATACACAAGGTGGGGGTAGCCAAATGGACTCCAAACATACCAAAGAAGGGTTTGTAAATATAATCAATAATTAATAAACATATAATCTATATTATGAAAATAATTGTTCGACAATCTATTCAAGTTAATTCATTGATTCTCATGCCCTTCCACTGTACGTTAAGCATGAAGATACCTCTATCTTTACATATTGTCCTAATAAAATTATTTAAAGAATACACACCAAGTAAACCAATATTGATTTGTACATTACAGTTATGACCAAGCTGAAACTTCTCATGGCGAAGTTGATCAGATACTACCACCAAAAGATGCGTAAGTCAGATAACCAGAAACATAAGTAAATCAGATACAAATGAAGTTAAGATAAAAGTGAAGAAAATACCAACTAAATATTTCTAACTAAAACGTTTCATATATTTGAAAGTTTAAATATAACCCAACCTCACTATGCATCAAACATGTACAACATTTTAGTAGATAAGAAAACATAAGGTTTTTTATTGTTTATTTGTAATTTCATGCTTAAATACAAAAAGTTCTGACATGTTTGCAATTTTGTTTTGATATCAAAAAAAAAAAATACTTTAATTTTTTGATAGCATTATTTGTAGGCATAATTTCCTGAAATCACAATAACTAATCTTAAATTTTTGTCCATTGTTTCAACAATCACAATATTAACTAGAACTGCCGTTATAATATTTTATAGCGGATGTCACCCCGGTCCGCAAATTACCACGGTTACGCAACCAATTTGAAAATTCCAAAGTCGAGTATCACATCCACACATGCCAGTTTATTTCGATAAAATTGCAGATCAGACAACTGTATTGTATCTTATCTAAGACCGGTTTTACCTGTACACAAATTCCGGGAACACATTTGCCTAGTAAGATGATATGTTGTAACTTGTAAAATAAAAGCTCACAATAAAATATCTGCAGAGTGCAGCTATTAACATTATGACTGCTAACTCGTTAAAAGTTCCATCAGATTCACAAGGAGTTGACAAGACTTTGGTCTACTTTCTATTCTGGTAATTATCATATTAGCCAATTTAATTGCAGCTTTCACATTTACGTTTAATCGGAGGATCCTGAAGGTCTTTAAAACAGAAAGTAGAACAAAGAGTTTTCAAATCTTTATCATCAACATGTGAACTCATGATCTCTTATTTTAATTGGATTGTAAGGAAGTTACGATTCCATTCATATAAAGGTTCTCCATTTTATAAGTAACATGTAAAAAGATTGTATGAAAAAATATATCACACAATAAAAGATTTTTTCAGACATGAGACGTTGTAAGATGGAAAAAAATGACAGCATGATCTTTGTTGTATAACTACTAGGGCCAAAAACAGTATATATTGTTTGTTAAGTCAAGATAGAAAAATTAAAGTCTGTAAAATACATATCAAAATTACATACGCATTGCTTACCTTGTTAAATGTACATCAGGCATACATTTATATATTATTTGTAATAGTAATTTATAAAACTATACAATACATGCACACATCATTATGGTACACGGCAGTTAAAGACAAAGCTTTAAGAAAAGGAAATAAAAATTACGGACTACAGTCTCTATTGGGAATTGGTGTGGTAAGCGACCCTTAGCCCAATGTGTCTTAGCCCTATGTGTCTTAGCCTTATGTGTCTTAGCCTTATTTGTCTTAGCCTTATATGTCTTAGCCTTATGTGTCTTAGCCCAATGTGACTTAACCTTATATGCTTTAGCCTTATGTGTCTTAGCCTTATGTGTCTTAGCCTTATATGCTTGAGCCTTATGTGTCTCTCATGAAATTTACAGTACAGAAATCCAAGTATAATATATGTACATATAATTGATAAAATTGAAAACTGGAAAACATAATATTGTCATCAATTCTTTATAGCATGTATAGGAGCAATTCCTAAAATGACGACTTTATCTTTATTTATTTGGCAATTAGTTGAAAAGAACTTCAGTAACGAAAATATGGACTGCAAATAAATTAGACACTGTATTTGATAGAATTTATATTTATATTTCAGAAAAGGGATAGTCAGTATGAGTGAAAAACCGGATGAAACAACAAGAGGAGCTGAGGAGGTAGATGCACAAGGTGGGGGTAGCCATATGGACTCCAAACATACCAAAGAAGGGTTTGTAAATATAATCAATAATTAATAAACATATAATCTATATTATGAAAATAATTGTTCGACTATCTATTCAAGTTAATTCATTGATTCTCATGCCTTTTCACTGTACGTTAAGCATGAAGATACCTCTATCTTTACATATTGTCCTAATAAAATTATTTAAAGAATACACACCAAGTAAACCAATTTTGATTTGTACATTACAGTTATGACCAAGTTGAAACTTCTCATGGCGAAGATGATCAGATACTGCCACCAAAAGATGCGTAAGTCAGATAACCAGAAACATAAGTATATCAGATACAAATGAAGTTAAGATAAAAGTGAAGAAAATACCAACTAAATATTTCACACTAAAACGTTTTATATATTGGAAAGTCTAAATATAACCCAATCTCACTAAGCATCAAACATGTTCAACATTTTTAGTAGATAAGAAAACATAAGCTTTTTTGCAATTTCATGTTTAAATACTAAAAGTTCTGACATTTTTGCAATTTTTTTTAATATAAAAAAAACACACATTTTAATTTTTTGATAGCATTATTTGTAGGCACAATTTCCCGAAATCACTATAATTAATCTTGAATTTTTGTCCATTGTTTCAACAATCATAATATTAACTAGAACTGCCGTTGAAATCATTTATAGCGGTTGTCACCCCGGTCCTCAACTTACGACGGTTACGTAACAATTTTGAAAATTCCAAAGCCTATATCACATCAACACATGCCAGTTTATCTCTGTAAAGTTTCCTACAATTTTGAGTATTTCGGAATGTTTCACATTATTGCAATTTCACTGGCAGCGGCGGTCATTTTGGAAATTAATATATGCCAGTTAACATTTCTGTGAAGTTTCATAAAATTTGGAGTATTTTGAAATTCTTAACATTTTTGCCATATCCTTGACAACCGGGGGCATTTTGAACATTTTCAAAACTCAATCAGAAACTGCTACTTTTGTGTTTTCCCATAGGGTTCGATATTAAATATATTACGGAAAAACCACTGCCGTGTAAATCCTACGATCCTCAAAATCACCCAAACTCTTATATAGTAGACACCTACGTTGCATAAAAATTTCACGCATTATAGTTCAGGAATATTCAAATTTGTTTTGAAAAACAAAAATTATAATTTTTACATTTGTGTAGTTTCCATAGGAATTGTGGCCATTTGGAAAATACACACGATGTCATGCACATACACAGATGGTGGTCCAAAAGTCCCTGAGATATGTCGCGGAAAAAAGTTGAAAGAATAAGAGTTATAGCGAAGAAACGAACGAAAAGCAATATGTCACCCGACATTCGTCTAGGTGACAGAAATATTGCGAAGATTTCTGAATTTACAGAAACTGATTCTAGACTAATAATTCTCAGTATTTCTGAGAAAATCTACTGAGACATTGAGTAAATAAGAAAGTTACAAGGTAGACATGCACTTTTAAATGCCAAATATGCAGAAAGTGACAATTTTTAACAGAAACTATCATAATTAAAATATATATGAATAAAATTAAAGACTTGTATATGCCATTACTTAAATTAACCCAATAAAAAAACTACAAAAGTATCTAGAGGTCAACTTAACCTTTTGAACAGTAAACATGTGTCATTACATTATATGAATATGAAAATAAGGGATACTGAGATTTTCTATAATTACCAATGTGGCACCTAACCAAATACCTAGGCAAAAAGATGTGAACAATTGCAGTTTACTGTACAGGTCAATATGAGCAAAACCCACATCAGTAAATGTAAGCTATTTAAAATTTGTGAGCGCTTGACCCTGTCCTGAAAAGAGTTTGACTCATCAGATCAGTTCTTTGTTTAAAAAAAATATCCAAAATGATATAAAAAACACGAAGTACAATCTAAATAAACTCATGATAGATACCAGGATTGAAATTTTGTATTTGCGCCAGACGCGCGTTTCGTCTACAAAAGACTCATCAGTGACGCTCGAATCAAAGCGTACTCACAATTGCTGAAGCTAGTTCAAAGCCTTATTTCCATAATAATTAACCCATGTTTTCCCTAAAATGTAAATCAGTGCCCTTCCAACAGATTAAATGTAAAGACATTATAAACAGTCTTGGAATAGCATGACCATGTGCAAGCTCTAAATCGCTGATACTCGTGGTCAGTTTTCAGATACTAAAAGCAATAAATCAACAACATCTGGTATATGGAATGATTGTAAGGTGACCCTGTCTGTCTGGTAGGGTTAATCTGCGTCTTATAGCTTACCATATGGCATGGGTTTTGCTCATTGTTGAAGGCCATAAGGTTAACCTCATTTTCATTGGTTTATGTAAAGTTTCTATGTTTACGTCACTTTTCAGACATCATCAGCAATAGTTCAATTATATTTAGTGTATTGAATGATTGTAAGTGTACATGTTAGCCTGGTAGGATTCATTTGACCTTGACCTCATTCTCATTGTTCATTGGTCAAAGTAAAGTTTTCATGGTTCTCATATGCATTTTCTTTAAACAGTAGTTTAACTATATAATATTTGGTTATGGAATGATTATAATGTGCACATGTCCATCTGAGAGTGTTCATCTAACCTTGACCTCATATCATGGATTGTTAATAAAAAATAAAAATATTTGTGATATTTTTAATAAAACCTTGTCTCAACGTCTTTCAACATAAATTCAACAAAGATCAGTAAAGCAGGCAAGCCATTTCAGCTTGTGCACTCTTGTTTTATCAGTTTAACAAATTGTTTTTTGAAAACAAACAAATACAGATATATCTATGTCATAAATTGAAATAAAGCAATTGCATATATGACCTGTCAAGATTTTCAAACAAACAAATAGTTACCTTGGAGGTATCTCGGTAGTGTGCTCTTTCTGAGTGTTGAACTTATGGGCTGAAACACTGAGCAATCAGGTGATAAAAGACGTACAAATTTGTATTTGCTTCTATCTATAACCACTTCATTAAGAAGACTTAGAGTCCGGGAAAACATGACCTGCTAGGATAGCATGTCCATCTGTTACCTGTGTTATCTTGGGAACATCACGAAACAAACAAATGAAGGTTTGTTGCAAAGCATATACTAATTTAGAATCCATAACCAGATTTACATGCAAAAACAAAATTTATAACATGGAATATGTAAACTTAAGGTTATAATTTGTGCTCTTTGGAAAGATAATGTAAATATTATATCTATAGGAAGAATATTTATAAATGCCACTGTCTTTTCATCATTCTGTTTGTGCCTTTTTTAAGTCAAGAGCCTGTAGTTAAGTAGTTGTCTTTGTTGCTGACTGTGTTTTATTGTTAATTATTTTGCATGAATCGGGCGATTTGTTTTCTCTTTTAAATTGTTTCACTTTGTTGCATGCCAGAGCCTTTTATAGCTTACCGTACAGTACAAGTTTTTTCTTAAACATTATCGTGATTATGAAACATTGATTTAATAAGAAAAGTACACGGTAAAAATATCCTTTAAATTACTAAATATGTGGAAAATTCAAAAAGGAAAGTCCCTAATCAAATGGCAAAATCAAAAGCTCAAACATATCAAACGAATGGATAACTACTGTCATATTCCAGACTTGGTACAGGCATTTTCTCATGTAGAAAATGGTGGATTAAACCTGGTTTTATAGCTAGCTAAACCTCTCACTTGTATGACAGTCGCATCAAATTTCTTTATATTGACAACGATGCGTGAACAAAACAAACAGACACAATAGGTAAAAATGTCAAAAATAGGGGTCCAGCAGTCAACATTGTATTATCATCTTAATCACTATAAAAACAAACAAATGTAACGAAGAAGCACAAAAAGGCATACATCAAATTTAACATCCTAATTTTGCTTTTTTATTATACGATTTTATTTATCAATGTAAAATCCGCCCATAAAGGATGGGAGGTTTTAAGTACTGGCGTAAAATCGCGCGTTTGAAATTCGCACAGGTAGACATAAAATAATTTTGTCGTTGTAAGTGGCGTTAAAAACCAATCAATCAATCAATGTTGGAAATGACATTTACAATTTCATGTAACAAAACATATATATATATACATTTATATAGGAAAAACATAATAAGGCTAGAAATGCATTAAATATTTATATTCAACATGAATAATCACATTTTGTCGATTAAGACACCAAATGTTCTAAAATGTTCTCCATAATTTCCTACCGGTTTCACTGTTTCACAGATATTCGTGGATATGGTTGCTTGTGACGTCCTTAGGGGTTACGTCTATTAGCGACATCATTATTAGATCCTGAACGTCATAATATATATATATGTGTGTGTAGAAAGCCTTAAATCATTATTATTTGTAGAATAACGCCTACACTAACAGCCTTTGAAGATATAAAAGATGAAGAATTTGATTCAACAACATATATGAAATGTGGAAACGTTGGGAAAGCAGTAATTGTTAGCAACTTTATGGATGGCTATACCCCGATAAGAGGATTAAACGTGAGGTCTTATGCCAAAAATGATTGTGATTTGCTAGAAAAAACACTTAAACACCTTGGATTTCAACCATTTGACGACAAAGAGAACAGAATGGTGTACAAAAACCTAACAAAAACAGAGTTTGAAGCACTGTACAATAGAGGTAATATGATAAATAATATGAGTCGACAATTAAAATCTTGATTAATTTAGTGTGTATATTTGATAGCATGCACATTGATCATTGTTAAAAGATCTTTTGATTACATTTCCTTAAAAATATATAGGATTTGAATGCACATCAAGTCAGATAATGGTTATTTTTGACAATCAGGTTTTAGAAATTTAAAAGAAAAAGAAGAAATTATACAATGATGGTATAAACTGAATAAGATCTTCTGACTACCCAGTCACCTTCTTTTCGTGACCTTTGATATCTCAGGAAAACTGAAATGCTTGTCAGTTAAGATCAGAGTTGGTCATACCTCGCACTGATAAGCACAATTATGGCTCACAACCTCAGAGATTACAGACTACTGATCCCCGTAGAGTACTTCTTAAACCCCAACGTGATTGAAGCCCAACGTTAATGCTGATGGAAGGAAATTATGATAATGAATTAGCTACCAACCACAGTACTTGAAATTATCATTTTATCTTAAAACTATTCAACGTGGAATGCTACAATGCTGAAACTCATTAGATTTACAAAAAATAATTCATTTGCTCATGTTGCTCTTCGGAGGTTAATTGACCTGTTTATTAAGTTTTGATTTGATTGATTACTAAATCAAGCTAAAAGGCAACAAACGAACTTCTCAAAATTGGAACAAAAGGAGCAGACAGAATTGATGTGTTCAGTGAAATAATCCTTGCCACTCTCTGGTGTTAGTTTAAAAAAATTAGTAGTCTTATTTCAAATTTTAATTACTATTAGTTGCAAAGGAGACCGACTACAGACCTAAAGGAAAAGAGGGATATACATGTGTACTATTTATTGTCATGTCATATGGGAGATCAGGATTGATACAGTGTCATGCAGAACCAGGAGAATATGGGGACCCTCCATTTGTAGAACAAAAACACATACAGGAAGCCTTCCAACCACAGAATAACCCTTCACTGGCTTTGAAGCCAAAATTATTTATTATCCAGGTTTGTATTATATTTACATGCGTACTTACTTGTAACTGCGTAAGCAGAAGTAGCCGCTCGACTATGTCGGTCCATTCATCTTTGGAACAAAACTTTCGTCAAATTTTTTTTTGCTTTTATGAAAAAGAATGATTTTATATTTGGTCTGCAGCTTGATCTTGCAATATTTACATCTGCCATGCAACCAAGTCCTTTTTTCTGATAGTTTGAAATTTTACGACAATCATTGGACAAGGAAATGTTTTGTCAAATTTTTCTTGGCTTCTATGTAAGGGAATGATTTTTATATTTGGTCTTCAGCTTGATTATCTTTTAAAGCTGTAGCGTGTAAGCAATTTTTACATCTGCCAGGCAGTCACTTTCTGTTTGCCGATATATTTTTTTTATTTTAAAACTGGTGAACAAGGAACATATTTGTCAAACTTTTCTTGATTTTTACGGAAGGTTTTGTATGCAGCTTGGAAATGATAATTTGTATCAATTATTTTGGGGATGATCAGTTATGCTTTAGTATGCATGTCTCCTTAATCAATTGCATTCAGTGATGCAGGTCCGAACAAGGTATCGGTCCTGTTATATTTGGATAGAGATATATTCTGATAAAATAAAATTCACAAGTTTAAAATGACCTATCTTTTTAGAATAATTAGCACTCGACTTAAGTGTTATGACTTTATGTCTGTTAATACAATTATTAAATAGTAATAAAGTGTATCATAAGACCTTTGTGTTTGATAGCATACATTTTTGACAGTAACGGAAGTGGAGAGTAATGTTTTTTGTTTCTGTCAGTGCATCCATCTTTCATCCATCTCTTATCAGGTAAAAGTATAGTATAATACCATGAAATTGCGGTTAAACTATAGTCGCCGTCATGTAAAATTTGAATCTGGTTAATATTTCAAATTATCAATTGCGTTCATTCGAGATGACGTTTTTCTCTTAGCGGAACCTGAAATTATCCCCTAAAACCACTATTGAACTAACTTTTATTGTGATTGCACTGTATAATCCTGACCTTCAATTTATCCGAGACGATTGTCAGTGTTGGAGTCTGACATTGTTTTCACCGGAAGTGTTGTCGTGGAGTTTCGCGTTCAGTTAATTTACATATTTTTCGGACCACTAGGAACGTTTGATTAATTCCACGGTATGTTCTAGTGCAGACTATAGGCTACAATAAAGAACGGGAAACTGTATCACATCAATGACAGGAATATTGCCGTTAAAGGATCCTCATAGAATCAAAGATGGGGGATTTACAATGAAATAAGGTTTAAGATAATGTAAAGTTCAGGATTATACGGTGCAATCACAATAAAAGGTAGGTTAGTATTAGTTTTTGGGGAGGAATATTTTAGATTCCGGAAAGTTAAAAACATTATCTTAAATGAACGCGATTGAAGTTCAAAAATATTTAATAAAAAAACAAGTTTATATTACACCTGAAGCTTAGTAAACATGTTCATGGAATGATCTTTGGAAAATATATGCCAAAGCAGGTGTTTTTACTGACCTTGAAAGTCTTAACCATTATGACATATTTTTGTTATTTACTGTATACTTAATTTCATTGATATACATTTTCTTGATTTTACAAAAACATCACCCGATCTCAAAGGCCATGTGAAATTTTGCCATCACTTGATGTCCATTGTCGTCGTCCGTGTTCCTCCGTGGTTGTAAACTTACTAAAATCCTTCTATTCTGAAACTAGTGGGCCAAATATAACCAAACGTCACATTAAATGGTTCTAAGGGAAACTAGTTTAAAAATTGTATTTCGGGATTTGATCATGTAACAAACATGGCTGATGTTGCTAAACATATAACATATGGGTAAAATGCATTTTGGCTTTTATCTCTAAAACTAAAAAAACAGGTAAATATGATCAGCAGGTACAGGTCTGTCTCCCATTAAATTTTTTAGAAAAATCCAAAATAAAGTAATTGCCCTCAAAATGTCAAATTTTAGACAAATTCACAGCTTTATATCCCAAAGCCGAAACAGTAAGAGCAAAACTAGTACGGTAAAAATGACCAAAATGTCAAGGTCAATCACCCAGGATATTTTCAGAGGAATCGGACAACCTTGTGTGTAGTGGTTGCCTCTTAAAGCTCATTGTTTTGAAAATTTCGAAGTTTTTGGTAATTAACTGGAAAACTGTGACAGAGAGAGAGAAATATTTACAGTATATTGACCAAAACAATAAGATCTACAAATAAGTCAACCAGATAAATGAGTCAATTGACCCCATCTTTATCAATAATACCCTTAAAAGCTGTTTTGTAGCAACTGTATGCCATTTTTGCAGCAAAAATAATAGATTGAGAGAATTTGTTTAAATGTTAAGCAAATTAAGATCTACAAATAAGTCAATATGACTGAAATTGTCAGTTGAACCCTTATCAGAGTTTTTGCCATTGAAAGATGATTTTTACCCATTAATGGAGACAAAATAATAAAGAGAAACTGTAAATAGTTAAATTGTTCAGCAAAATAAGAACTACAAATATATCTGCATGTACAAAAATTGTTAATTGATCCCTTACAGAAGTTCTTTCCTATGAAAGATGTTTCACCCCATTTTTTGCCATACAAAAATGCCAGGTAAAAAATATAGGTTCCTTGGAGACTGTGGTTTAATCTTTCAGACAACTACTTCCTGGTAACTTATACTTTGATTTTTTGAGTAGGGGTATACTTAGCATGACCGATGAATTCTTGTTTGAAACTTGTGCATAGCTTGTGATTTAGTTCAATAATCAACACTGAAGAAAATAAGATTGGCCTTGGTTTCACTTTAATGCCATCATAAACAGATTATATCGAAATAAAGTATTTATTTGTTGGAAAAGTTTTGATTGCAAAAAAGGGGAAAAATTGATATCATATGATCATTATGACATTGTTTGCCAAGTGAGCAAGTTGTGCTCCAAGGTCAGCTGCCACGTGAAGGATGCATGATCCTGTCAGCCTAACGATTAAATACGGTTAAACAGGGGCTTTGACTTCTTCCTAGAAATCCTGTTCCTTTGTATAGTCTCTTTTCTTTTATATCAGACTATTCCTAAAGGAACAGACATTAATGATGGAAATGAACCAAGTGACGTAGAAAAAAAAGAAACCAAAAGAATACCAAGAGAAGCAGATTTTTTGACATACACAAGTGATGTATATTGTATAAATAGTAGGTATTGTTTTAACAATTTTCAATCATTCAAATATTATTTTTACAAGAACAATTGTGACATCAAAAATGTCATACTCACAAAAAAATCTATTTAAAGAAGAAGGGCATTATGACCTATTTGTATTTCAAGGAACTTACGTTTTTGAGAGCTACTGCAATTTTCCTCATAAGATAAGAAAATAGATAAAAAAATAAAAACAAAAATGAAAAAGAAAAGATTTCTTATGTTATGTAAAGTCATTTTTTTGTTACTTCTTGAAAGCTGATTTTATCTTGTAGTTGTGCACCTTTCATTATGGGGCTATTTGAAGATGTTTTCCTCTTTTTAGGGCCATGCATCAATGATACATGAACCTTACAGTTGTCACTTTGATCATTCGTCTGTCTATCTGTCCGTCCGTCCGTCCATCTGTCCGTCAACATTATAATAAACGCAAAACTCCTTGTGGGCATGTCAGATTTATAGTTGTGATTTTATTTTTCCAAATATTCTAATGTCTATTCATGTTCATAGTTTTATGGAAATTCAAGGTCTACCTGGCAACCAAATAGGGAGAAGTAAAGGCCCAACGTGAAGAATTCAAATAGATGTGAAGGATCACAATTATAATGCTTTTTATTCAATATATTTGCCTACATTTTGCCTTCTTTTTATTTAATGGAGCCTTTTTTCACGACAAATGTTAAGGTCTTATTTCCTTGTTCCGTGGCTTGAATACATTAATGAAGGATTTGGAAAATAACACATTCACTTTTGCTGAATCTCATAGAAATTTCCAAGAAAAATCTGTTTAGATTTCTCCCATTTTTGCTAAATAACAATTAATCAAGAACCCCTTTCATAAACAAAATGTATATAAATAAATGAGTATGGTTGGAAAGGGTCCTATTTGGCTCCAAATATTAAGTCAAATGTTTCAATACAAAAAATGTTTCAAGATGTAAAATATATACATGTACTAAAATGAAATAGAACTATTGTTGTTGACCTTTACTTATATTGGCGTTGACTTCAAATAGGCCAAAACAACATTTTGATGAAAGTTTTCAAAATCGTCTGCATTTCAACCACATGATCATATATATATATATAAAAATTAAGAGATGGTATGATTACTTATGAGCCAACTATCCAACAGTCTGAGAGTCAAAATGACATGAATCCCCCGACATGAAAACAAGAGCAGGATTCAATATACGAATAATTTTCTAGTTTTCTGTTACAGGTGATCATGGCAATTGCTTCATCAAAGCTATTGTGGATGTTTTAAAGGATCAAAAGGAGTCTGCCATGGAGATTCAGAGAGTTCTGATAAGAATGAACAAAAAGTACAAAGACTACAGTAATTCAGAGAAGAAAATACCTTGTGTAACGTCTTCTCTTACAAAGCAGCTGTTCCTTGTGTAAATTCAACATCTTGTGAATAAGTGAACTATTGTTACAAAAAACAATATATAGTTCCAAAAACACATTATTTGATTCTTAACAGTACTAGTACAATAAAGGTTTAATTGTGAAGTACAGAAAAAAGATTTAAAATACGTTGACAAATGTCTCCAAAATTTCAACAGTAAGTTCCTGAATTTCATTGAATGACGTTCTGATAGATCTTATCATTACTGAAAAATGTCCAAAAAGGGATGTAAAATAAAGTTTTTATTTCGGTTACATATACAACATTTATTTCAAACTAGATGCCTATTTTAACAAAAACCTTTATTATGTCAATAGAATTAATAAAGATAGAATGCAACTAGGATTACATACAACTCAATTACAGAATATATCAAAAGCACAAAACAAACATTTTTAAAGGATCTTCTGTATTCTCTGATCCTAGCTTAATAAGTTTCAAGCACAAGCAGAAATGTTTATCAATCATAAGGAGCCAATGCATTATAAATTGTTTTTTTTAGTTTTGGTAATTTGGATATAAGTTTTAGTATATTATAAACCAAGTATGAGAATTTGAGTCAAATCGATGAACATGAACTGGATAGCTATGGACCCTTATATGTCTCATATATAAATGTAGATACTTTGAAAAGTTTGTTTATTCACTTCATATTTTCTTATATGTTGATATTACATGTTTGAAACCTTTTATTTTGTTTTATTTTATAACATGCTGTTGTTTAATTAAAACTAATTTGATGGGTTTTTTCTTCTTTTTTATTTTATTTTTCACGTTTACATTTGTACCTTTACTTATCGATAAATATATTTTTGTAAATGGAAATGCATTTAAATGTCAAATTTTTGAACGAAAATAGGCGAATATGTCAAGAGGCATTAAAAATCTTCAGTCAAAGAAAGAAGGGTAATTAATAATCATGGCAAAAAAAGACAAACAGACAAACAACATTGCACATAAGATTAAACAGATTAGAAACGATTGAGCAACCAGAAGCCAACACAAAAATAGGGATAAACTCAGATGTTGAGGAGGGGTCATTCTATCCTGTTCAACTAATGCCACCAATTGTGTTGCTCACTGCAATTCAAATAATGTAAAAAGTCACATCAAGTGGTGTCATAAAGGAGGACTAGGCAAGGGGATTGTGGTTTTTGCGTTTGATGTCATGTTTTTGTTCCTGCTTAGAATGTTTTAGAATTGTTTATACATATAACATGTAAAGTTCAACAGGATTTGTTGCGTTTACATTGAGGCTTACAGCAAGGATCCCGGGGGTTTCTGGGGGTAAGAAGCATTTAGTTACTTATGTGTATTGTTGTTATTTTGATATTCCCGTTTCGTCTATACAAAATACAAAAAATGCTATTTTAGAAGCTTTGCCTTTTATGTAAATTACATAGTTGTTCTAGGAAATGATTAGTATAATTGAACATGTATGTAAAACCTATATCTATACAACTTCTATGTAATTTGGTCTATGGTGGCAAGTGGTCTCATAGGCAATCATACCACATCTTCTTATTTTTATATCATTGTACAATTTTTTTTTAACATTAATAAACGTATCAACTATGGATTATTTATTCACCCTACTATTAACTATACATGTGTATGGAGAACAGTTAGAGACATATGCATGTGTAATGACTCACTCTGTGCATTTAGCTTTATACAGCATCTTGAAATATATAGCAAATTTTAGACAACAGAAAAGTGATAATACACATGCTACATCGATCTTGATCAACGTGGAGCCAAATGATATACATATATAAAGTAAGAAATATTTTATTTGGAAAATGTACAAAATTGTAAGGCCACGGCTTAACAAAGAAAGTGACTGCCGAGAAACATAATTGGTAAGTCCCTAGTATATATAATTAAACCTTGTTGTCCATTCCTTATTCCTTATTTCAACATTATTCTTATTTCTTCATTTCCACATTATTGTTATTCCTTATTATGTCATTTGAAGTTCTCAGACAGTAAAAATTTTAATTTTCAATAAGTTTGAAATGAATAGACTGTTTACTAATTTCAAGCGGCTGTAAGAAGATGGGGGTCCGGGGGGCTTGCAACCCCCCACCCACCCGAATTTTTTTTGGGACTTACATTGAAAATGGTACACTCTGAGGCATTTTCAGACTGTTTACACATGTTACAAGAGCATAGAAAATGGGGTTTCATACGAATAATTTCTTTTTTTAGCTTTTTTTAAATAAGGTTAATCTTATTAGTAAATTGTGATACTAGTATTGCTTATCAAATAAAAATATTTTGATAACGACAGAAAACTGGCTGCAGCTCTCCATATGGTAGGATTTACATCCACAATTCCAATTGATGTAGAATGATTCTTTTAATAACTAATTGAAAAAAATAACATGCACAAACAACAAAAATTGCAGGCCAACCTACATGTAATTTCTGTGATTTTTTTTTCATAATCGAAATTTTCAGAGTAGGTTAGACCAGAGACCTATAATATGTCTCTGGTTAGACTATAAACTATAACAGAAACTGGAAACAGGATAAACAATTCATGTACATCGACCTGTTGTTACGCTGACATATTGTGTGTTCTCGTTGAGCTCCGCGTCAATAACTATATATAATTGACGACCATATCAGCGTTGAAAGGATCCGAAAGTTATTATGATAATTTTTAAAGAATTGTCAGTCACAACAACTATCGATATTTAATCGTAAATTGCATAATATGTGATTCTGATTTCACCGGCTTCTTTTTCTTTTTAGGGGCTGTAAAGAAATTAAGCAACGTCGGTTTTCTTTTTGCTTGTTTACTTGTCATCTTGGATCAACATGTGTTTTCTCTCAGATACAAAAGGGCGCTTTACTAATATATAGAATTATCCCTTTTTAAGCGCACACATAATCGCATTAAAAATCACTTTGGATGTCTCGTTCCTTATCCATCTTCGTAACGTTGTCAAGAATCTATAAATATATTATAACGCGCACCTAAACAAAGCGCAAGCGAAGACAAAATCGATTCTATCGACAACAACTTGTTTTAAGGAACGCTAGCACAGTTTTATTTATTTAATTTTTATTTGGAAACACAATTTGAACCAGCGATTCCCTTAATTTGATATGGGGAAATCTCGCCGAATGCCGGTGCTTTTTGAAAACCTTTAGTCTTGGAAGCATAATATATTTGTAGATGTTGTGTCGCTATTTTCGCCAATTGGTCGAAGTCGTTGTCTGGAGCCGTGACGAAGGATTGGGATTACAATCGAAAGAAAGCATCAATCATTTTAAACATGAAAAATAGAACAAAAACAGCAGAAAAATGAACAAGATATAACATATATGCATATGTTTTTACACTTAAAATAATTTTCAAAATATAGTGGTGGATGGGTGGGTATCTTTTGAAATAATATTTGTTAATTTATACGGAACCAATTTTTACGTCTTTATCTCTGCTGCAGCGTGGAAAAGAAAGAATGACCTCACAGTAATCAACGTTAAAATAATCAACGTCACTCATAATACTTTTATTCCACGAAAGGCAAAAGCGGGATAACTCCCGAAAATAAAGCCCACTTTCCTGCAATAACCGGATTATTTTATTCTTCGTAGGAATAAATCTTATTATTTCAGATAGCAAATAAAAGCTTTGGTTTCTGCTTTATCAAAAGTTTAAGTTAATACATCTGTACTCAATATTGGACTTTTATGTATCGTTATTGGATTCTATTTATGTCATTTATTTAACAATGTTTAATATTTCCGTCTATAAGTATTATCTCGTGATTTCGATTGTTTTTCTGCCATGTGGTTTTCTTTGTTTCAATCATACAGATTTCAAAGTTTAAGTATTTCCTACAATTGTTTTGAAATTATGAGAGTATATTTTATGCAGAAAAAATGTTAACAACTATTTCTGCACCCAGTTGAAATTCCCTGTTATCAATTTCATATTATTGTTCGACTCGTTGCGATGTAGATATGATAGAGTTTAACATATTGCATAGATACCTGGCTATTGTCGAGGAATATGTGTTACACATCTAAGATATTAGAAAAAGCTGTATATTTACAATTAGAGTCATTTTTAGTAGAAAATAATATTTTGTATGAATTTCAATCAGGTTTTAGAAATTCATTTTCTACCGATAGCTCTCTCATACATTTAACAGGTCATATAAAATCAAAAACTGCCAAATGTCTTTTTACTTGTATGAATTTATACTCGATCTACACTGAGAAGGCATGTGATACGGTAGATCATGAAGTAGTTTTGTTAATATTAACAATCTGTTTCCTGTTTGTCAAATATGAATAAAACCAGTCTACAGATCTAACTCCTATCACATTAAGCTTTTCACATGTTTATCTCCAATAATCAGTACGACTTCTAAAGTAAGAACGTACTTTATCAGACGAAAAAAGGGTTCTTAATTAACGTGTCTCCCTCAAGCATTGCTCCGAATTCTTGTCCGGGTTTTGCTGCATTTTTTTTCGTTTTGGTTTTATCAGGCTCTTTAAAGTTTGTATTAGTTTTTCATTTTCTCCGAGGGTATCATTGATCCGGAATCTAGAACTTTGATACTGGCATGAAAATGAATTATTTTGTATTATTAAAGTTTGCTGTTATAAAATGTTCAAAATTAGTTTTAAATCAAGAAATATTTCTTCGTTATGCATAGCTCTGATTAACATATATAATTGCACTATTTTTTGTTAAAAAAAACACATATTGTTTGAAGGTATCTAGTATGAAGGAATGTTGAGTTCATTGTCTGATATTCAAAAGTGAAATAAAATGTACATATTCTAATGTCAATACCGAAGCATTCACTGCGTTAAAACACTCATTAAAGATACCAAGCTATGAGGAGGTTCAGTTTTCTTCATAATGTTTTATTCTCCACATTTAAGGAGATCCCCTTTATATGAATACATAATTTTAAAACAAAAATGACGAAACAAAAACATAGCACATGAAAAGCAGCAGGAAAGTCACAAGCAATTTAGAATGACTTTGCTTCAAGGTTTTAGAAAGCATTATCAAATGTAAAAAATATAAAATCTATATTATAATTGCTGTTCATGAGGTAACATCATGGACTGTAAAAGACTTATCCGGAATTCCAACTTTGATTCCGGAATATATTAGTAAAAGTCACGTAATTTCGACTTTAATTCCTGTAGAGTAATTATGTTTGGTTGCAATTACGAGCGAGAGACATGAATGTCCTTTTGAATTTTTTATTTGGTATTTTGTTAAAAGAAAATGTCTAAACAAACTCATCATAGATACCAGGGTTAAAATTGTGTATGCCATACGCGTCTTTCGTCTACAAAACACTCATCAGTAACGCTCGAAACCAAAAAAAATAAAAAGGCCAAATAAAGTACGAAGTTGAAGAGCATTGTGAGGACCAAAAATTTTTAGTACATGTACTAGTATTTAAAATATCTTTTCTATCCAAACAATCGGCTATAGTTTTATATAAAAGAAGATATATTGGTTGCTTGAAGTAATACTGTTTTCTCTATATTGGCCACATTCGATAGTAAGTCAGTACCTACAACATTAATGGAACGAAAGTCATATCAAATTAGAACTCTTAATTTTTTTTCGAGTGAATCGGTCTACTTTTTACTAAAAATTCAGCTTTTTACATTGTCCGTGTTTTTTTCGAGAGCAAGATTTAAAACGACCAGGTTCTTAAACAAACGGTCCGGGTTTTTCAAAGGAAATGTGAATAAG